TCCATTGTTCTTGTTGATATAGTAGGAAAGAATAAATTATCGGATGCTTTTGGAATTCTTTTACTTTTTATTGGAGTTGCAGTGGCAATTGGAACACCGATTGTTGGTAAGAATTTCATTTTACTTCAGATTAACTAAAAGTTCTGATTATATCATCAGAACTTTTGTTTGTCTACAAGTCAATGTTAATTTATTTTATATTTTATTTTTAGGAGCAATGAGAGATGCATTTTCAGATTTTACTCGACCATATCTTTGGCCTTATCTTATTTCTGGTAGTTGTACTGTCCTTAGCGGGGTCATACTATTTGACATTCCATCTTCACAACGAAAGAAACCAAATGCACGTCAAACCGAAGTGAATGTTGAGGCGTCTTAAACAACAAGAACTTTAATTGTTGGTATAGATTTTTTTTATCGTTGTATATACGATTCAATCATAATTAATGCTCAATAATAAAACCGTTAAATATTTACAAACAGCAATATGTCTGATAATCGATCAAATATGACAAAAAATATCATAGACAATATCAAGAATAAGAAAGATATTTGAATAGAAAAAAGTAACCATTGAATCGATAAAGGAAAATAATACTAAAACCATCTATGAATATTCAACAACAATCAATAGAATAAATGTGAAACCCTGTTAGACCACATTAACAACTTCTGAATCAATGAAATTTTTTTTGTTAAAAAGAGCAATGTCTGAACTACCAATTTTGTATAAAACGTATTTTTCTAGAACAAATCTGAGATGGAGGAAAAGACAAAAAACCGCACACCTATAAAAACGTTCTCGCAACTTCACCATCGGATAACATCATTTTCTATATTCTGCTAGCTATTTTATATTAGAAGATGAATAAGAAAACACGTTCAATGATGATTTTTGTAGTAGAAATAGTGCTCTTTCCAATGAGGTATTGGAAGGTAAATCTACTCTTGATTTGTATACTAAAATATTAATTTCACTGGGAGAGATTGAACAATTCAGGCATTCTCAGTACCTCGTCGGTCAGCAACGGTAACAAATATTTCTGAATTAATTTCGTCGTACTAAGTTTCTATAATTTGACATACTTCGAATACATAACACAAAAAGTTCCATTCATACTTGGATTTCGCAGACAACAATTGATAGTTTTATTATTCATTTCTGATATTCACTTGAAAATGATTATTCATGCGTTAGCATCACATGTAATTGGTACCAAAGAATGATTAATATTCTTCATATCTGTATTTATGTTCACTCAGTTGTACAAATAATGATTTGTCTTTTATTAACTATGGGTCTTTTTCAACAATCGCCTTAAAATATCACTTCGAAATATTACTCCAACTCATATATTATTTAGTGAATGGTAATTTATTAAGAAATGTGAATGATTAAATAGCTTGATTACATAGAAAATTTTATGATTCAGTTCAAAAAAAGAAAATGTCATTCTGTGTGTATCGATTAATAAAGCTCAGCACTATTGAGAGAACCAGTACTACCATATCCACCAGTAACTAATACTGATCCATTTGCTAATGTAGATGCTGTGTGATATGCTCGTACAAAACTCATGTTTCTTGTAGTTGTCCAAGTGCCTGTTAATAAATTATATAACTCAGCACTATTGGGAGAACCAGCACTACCAGATCCACCAGCAACTAATACCGATCCATTTGTTAATATGGATACTGTGTGATAATATCGCGTGAGATTCATATTTCCTGTAGTTATCCAAGTGCCTGTTGATGGACTGTACAATTCAGTACTACTGAGTAAACCACTGCTGCCCTGTCCACCAGCAACTAATACATATCCATTTGCTAATATGGATGCTATATGTTCATATCGTGTGGCGTTCATATTTCCTGTGGTTGTCCAAGTGCCTGTTGATGGATTGTACAATTCAGCACTATTGAGATAACCAGTACTACCAAGTCCACCAGCAACTAATACATTCCCATTTGCTAATATGGATGCTGTGTGATATGCTCGTACGAAACTCATGTTTCCTGTAGTTGTCCAAGTGCCTGTTGATGGATTGTACAATTCAGCACTATTGAGAAAACCACTGCTGCCCTGTCCACCAGTAACTAATACATTCCCATTTGCTAATATGGATGCTATGTGATATGCTCGTACGGAACTCATGTTTCCTGTGGTTGTCCAGATACCTGTTAATGGATTGTATAATTCAGCATTATTAAGAGAACCAGGACTACCAATTCCACCAGCAACTAATACTGATCCATTAGCTAATGTGGAGGCTGTGTGATATTCTCGTGCGGCATTCATGCTCCCTGTAATTGTCCATCCTAAATTGCATAGAAAAATGAAAAAAAACTATTCTTGGAAAAATATTAATTTAGTCATATACATAAGTTGTTTATGTGCTGTTTGCGAACTCAATGATTTTGAGACTTTGATAAACTTTTCTTTGCTCTCATAAACAGGATTAAACACATATTCAGATTTTAAACCAACTCAAGGAACAAGGACAATAAAAGCTCTTAAATTAAAAAAAATGAATGGAAAACATGTCATTTTCTAACGATTTGACACGCATGTAAGTGGACCAACGATCATACCTTTTAATATTTATTTTATTTGAGAAAGTTGGTATGCGTTTTCAGAATAAAGAGAAATAAGGAGTAGTACTGGTTTTGTCAAATACTTAAACTTCAACTCTATACTTTCGGCACGAAGATCATGTGATTGCATGGTCATCTTTTGAAAATATATGCTATGTCTTGATACAAAAGTTTCTTTAATACATTTCAACTTCATGTGCAAGAGAAAGAGCAACTGTTGATGCTATTTGTTTGTGATCAGTTTGTAAATCATGATCTAGTTATTATTTTTACTCTCAAACAAGTAATTCAGTCATATAGGATAGGTATGAATTCATCTTGACTTTAGCAATACCCACAATCTTTATGTGAGTGATACATAAAAACAGAGCATTTCTTTAAATCAATAACGTGTATCACTCATGCAAGATCGAGTGAATTGTTATTTGGGATAATCATCGTTGAAACAAATACAAAACATCTAGTATACTACTGACCTGGTACTGCTGTTGTTGTTGAAGATGATGATGTGCTTGATGACGATGATGTTGTTGTTGATGTTGTTGATGATGATGTGCTTGATGATGATGTGCTTGACGATGATGATGATGTTGATGTGATCTGATCTATAGTAGAAAAATGACATTAAAAAAGAGATACGAGAATTGGCTAAGACTTCGCCCAAAATTCTGCATGTTTCCCTCTACTAGTAATGTATCTGGTTATGAATGCATTCTGATAAACTTTACATAACTTCAAATATTTGTATAAACCCTACGTTTTCATATGAGAATACGTTGAATATTTCTTATAGCATAATTCGTATGGCAAAGATATATGCCATTCAAAAGCAAAACTATAATATTTTTACAGTATTTATAATATACGTACTCAGTGCTATGTATATCGCTGATTGATTCATAAATATCAAGGAAGAATTCAGATTAAATGCAATTAAAATCGAACTGTCATTTGTGTAAAATAATTGACAAGTTTGATTTATTGAAAAATAATTTAATGTTGATATTATCCCATTTGAATTTATCATTTCACAAATACACTGACTTTGCGTTATATTCCATAATGATTTATATATATTACCAATTAATATATTATTATCTCTTTTACCGATAAGAATACAATCACTAGTAGAAAATATTAGTAAAACAAAAAATATCCAAAACATCTTTTGTGACTTGATGTTTTAAAATTGTTTTACAAATGTTTTAGTAACTAGCATTACTGTTTCTCTTTTGTTTTTCATTTTCTCCAACTCTCTCGTTTAATTTATTTGATCACGACAAAAAAAAGTGCTGAGAGTGTTTATCAGATTTCTGGGAAAAAATAAGCAGTCATGCATATTCCATATACAAAACGAGTAGAAGAACAACAAGAAAAAATAATTTGTATAGAAAAGAAAAAAAATATTCTCTTAGTTTCTTTGACCATTTATGAAATTGAAACCGTCACCATCGAATGAAGTAAACAAAAAAGAAACAGTTTTTTTTGTGTATATGTAATTGCTTTTTAAAATTAAATTACCTTCAGAATACTCATTCAATATTATGAAAGAAAGAAAGTAAAAAAATCTGATAATTAACGGATTGCTTCAACTAAACGCTTAGTCATCACATGTGTTTTGTGCAATAGAATATTGTAGAAAATGGAATGCTTTTTTCTCAGTATTTCAAATGTAATTAGTCATCGGCGTTGCCATCAACAATAATTGCATAAATTTGATCGAATACCAAACTTCTGACTTTGTTCAATTTTGTCAAAACATATTAGATATTACTTTGAATTCATTTGAGGATGTAGATGTGAGCGATAGATCATCAAGAAATATCTCTAAGAATGTGAGAATTATTATCTTTATCACGATTGATTTGATTGTAAAATCAATGTCTACTATACTATACTATTTAAGAAGATAGTGTGATAGATAATCTTTTGAAAAAGAATTATTTACAAATTAGAATAAAGGATAAGTGAGAAAAGAAAATGCATTGTAGAGCTCACAGATCATTATTAATCTTCGACAGCAACCTATTCAAGTGTTCAATTACCATCGATATCTAATGTTTATGTATTAAATATCAATTGAAAATAATAAAACTTGTTTTCTTGTCAATAAAATACTATTAGAAGAAAAATGTCTCGTAAATCTTGTTTGCATATTATTAAATATTTTATTAATTTCTTATTTAAATCTTGCACTCTCAGTTGTTCACACATTGTAATATCAATTAGTTTCATTATATAATAAAATATCGACATGAAAAATGAATGGTGTGATCCAAAAAGAAAAGAGTAGTCTTTACATTTTTTCTGTAATAACTATTCTTTTGTAATAGAATTTTATTTATGATTTGTTGTAAAAGACAACATTTCAAGTATAGCTAATTCCATCTTTAAAAGAAATAAGACAAGGAGTACAAAAAAACTACTATTGATGCTTGGATCCACTTACTGTTCTTTATCATATTACCTTTAGCTTTAATGATGACTGTTGTCACTCATCTAGATCAAAAGAAATACAAATTTGTACATTAAAACACCCACTATTTTATATATGAAAGTATTGATTCTGTTCCTCAATTACTTTCATATATATATATCCTATTCATTAAATACGGATGAGTTTATCAATAGTACGCACTATTCTTTAATATTGAAACAGAAAGAATAATTCATTCGATTGACAAAATACACTTTTTCTCTCTTTTTATTTTTCTATGTTTCTGTTGAGTACCTTTCTTTCTTATCTAACACAACGAAACTCTACTTGATCAGACATAATAATATAACCGAAAAGATCTTTTCTACAATACATATCTTTTCAATATGTGTTGTGTATCTTACCAGTGAGTGTTACTGCTCATATTGTGTTCTCAACAAGAACAGAGTTCCAAAAGATATATTTTCTTTTTCAGCAGTTTTATTTTACTTTCCAAAAAAAATATAGAAAGAAATTAAAATTGTTTTTTCGTACGTTCGAGGTTTTTCCTATATAATTGAAGACTATGATGATTTGTTGGTAATTTTTGTTGACCGATTTGTACAGCACGTTCATAAAATGAATGAGCTTTTGAATAGTTGCGCATATTCTCATACACCGCACCGATGTTGTTAAAAGACATGGCCAAATCAGGATGATTGGAGGGAAGTGATTGTTGTCGAATTGTAAGAGCTTTTTCATAATAAGATAGTGCTTTTGGATAATCACGCATGTTGTAATGCGCCAAACCGATGTTGTAATACGATTTAGCCAAATCAGGATGATTGGAAGGAAGTGATTGTTGTCGAATTGCAAGGTCTTTTTCATAATAAGAAAGTGCTTTTGGATAATCACGCATGCTGTTATATACCAAACCGATGTTGTTATAGGAATTAGCCAAGTCAGCATGATTGGAAGGAAGTGACTGTTGTCGAATTGTAAGGGCTTTTTCATGAGATGAGAGTGCTTTTGGATAATCACGCATGCTGTTATATACCAAACCGATGTTGTTATAGGACATAGCTAAATCAGGATGGTTGGAAGCAAGTGATTGTTGTCGAATTGAAAAGGCTTTTTCTTGAGATAAAAGCGCTTTTGAATAATCACCCATGTTCTTATACACATTACCAATGTTGTTATAGCACATAGCCAAATCAGGATGATTGGAAGGAAGTGATTGTTGTCGAATTGCAAGGGCTTTTTCATGAGATGAAAGTGCTTCTGGATAATCACCCATACTATTATATACCAAACCGATGTTGTTAAAGGACGCAGCCAAATCAAGATGACTAGAAGGAAGTGATTGTTGTCGAATTGTAAGGGCTTTTTCATGAGATGAGAGTGCTTTTGGATAATCACCCATGTTGTAATATACCAAACCGATGTTGTAATAGGATTTAGCCAAATCAGGGTGATTGGAAGGAAGTGATTGTTGTGAAAGTATAAGGTCTTTTTCATAATAAGAAAGTGCTTTTGGATAATCACCCATGTTGTAATATACCAAACCGATGTTGTTATAGGAAGCACCCAAATCAGGGTGATTAGAGGGAAGTGATTGATGTCGAATTACAAGGGCTTTTTCTTGAGATAAAAGTGCTTTTGAATAATCACCCATGTTCTTATACACCAAACCGATGTTGCTATAGGAAGCACCCAAATCAGGGTGATTAGAGGGAAGTGATTGTTGTCGAATTACAAGGGCTTTTTCATGAGATAAAAGTGCTTCTGGATAATCACCTATGTTCTTATACACATTACCGATGTTGCTATAAGAAGCACCCAAATCGGGATGATTGGAAGGAAGTGATTGATGTCGAATTGCAAGGGCTTTCTCATGAGATGAAAGTGCTTTTGAATAATCACCCATGCTGTAATATACACTACCGATATTGCTATAGGACATAGCCAAATCGGGATGGTTGGAAGGAAGTGATTGTTGTCGAATTTCACGAGCTTTCTCAAAATAAGAAAGTGCTTCTTGATATTCTCCTTGAAAATATTTGATTCGACCTAGTTGATGATAAGTATTTGCCTTGTCATTGTCATTGGTTGTTTGATGAAGTAAAACTTTATAAATTTCTTGAGCTTTGGTAAATTGACCCATTTTAATCAGTAATAGTCCCAATCGGTACCACCCTTCTTCATCTGGAAAGGTCTCCTGCCGGATCTGATTGCTAAGAGTTCGAAAATCGCGATCGTTGTCATCGGTTAATGTCAAATTCACTTGATAAAGATGATTATTTCCATCCATTGGTTGAATAGCTCCAATACGAAAAACGGTATGCATAGAAAACAGAACTTCATCTTCCATATGAAAATAACTAACATGACTAACAGAAGCAAATGGAGTTGTTGAATCAGTTGGATTAATTGACATAACAAATAGAATTCCAACAAGATCAGGATTTGTAGCAACTTGTTGCAGAAATTTAAGAGCAGTACTACGATTTTTACTGGTTGATAAAAAGTTATTAAATGAAAGAAGTCCACCTTTAGTTTTTGTCATTTCGACGAAATTTTCTTTCGAAAGACCCTGTCCACGATAAACTGTAAATATTTTACCTGATTGATGGCCATGAAATTGTTCCGAATGTAGTCGTTGAATATCACGATGTAGATCATTAATAAAGAAACCCAATCGAACAATAGTATCAACATCCATTAATCTTAAGGTACAATTAAGCATACGATATAAAAATGCATCCCATGTATACCACCATATAGGTATCTTGTTTTTGTATGTTATTTGTAATTGATTAACATTTTTCAATTCATTTTCATCATCGTCATATACATCACGGCAATACGCAATAAATTCGTTGAAATATTTGTCTTTGAAATTGATGGTTAATAAGATCTCTTTCAGAATCTGAGTATACATAAACGATGGATCTAATTGATCCAATGTTTTGTTTGGTACCACAAAGCTGATTGAGATGGCATTTTGCTCACATTGGCGAGCTGCTTGTTTAAGAGCTTCACAGATTGATGTTGTATCTGTGAAGACTCCATTTACTTTAGGCCATTGTTTAATCCATTGTTTATGCCATTCTCGGTTGTTACAAAAAATAAAAATGGTATCGACTTGAGACATGTCATGCACATGAGGCACAACATGTTTCCCAAGTGAACCAGAAACAATCATACATACTTTGTTGTTGTTAATGGTTCGAATAAATTCAATACATTGATTAGCATCAGTAAATGTGTTTACGTTGTTAACTACACGCTTCAATTGTTTGATTGTATTATTACAATCAGCATTATTATTTTTAATATTGTTGTCTAACCAAATCAGGAGGACATTTTGCATTCTTTGCATATTCATACGTCGATTTGCAGCTGCATTCGTGGGGAAATCAGATACTGGCTCGACATCGTTTGTATTACTGAATGCGACAGTCATCATCATCATCATCATCATGTCCCATAGGCTTAGCGCCCGTTGGG